AAAAAACATTTCTTGTTACAGTAAAGTATGTGAAATTAAATGGCATGTTGTTAATACATAGTATCGAGAAAAATTCATATCTCTTAATTAAGTGTTGAGTATCTTGGAATAAAAAACATTTCTTGTTACAGTAAAGTATGTGAAATTAAATGGCATGTTGTTAATACATAGTATCGAGAAAAATTCATATCTCTTAATTAAGTGTTGAGTATCTTGGAATAAAAAACATTTCTTGTTACAGTAAAGTATGTGAAATTAAATGGCATGTTGTTAATACATAGTATCGAGAAAAATTCATATCTCTTAATTAAGTGTTGAGTATCTTGGAATAAAAAACATTTCTTGTTACTGTATACAATCGAAAAACTCCGTTACCTCATTCCTGCGGAGTTTTCTGAATTAAATGTTGTCTTGTTAATGTAAAACATCCTGAGTGAACTGATATCTTGTTACTGCGGAATATTCTGAATGAACTGTTGTATTGTTAATGCAGAGTATCCCGAATTAAAAGTTATATTATTACTGTAAATTAGTTTGAAATAAATTGATATGTTGTTTCTGTGGAGTATTTTTGTCATTGATGAACTTCAGAAGTAAATTACTATTTCATTGTTATGGAGTATCTAAGATGCCTCAAATATCTTTATTAGGGGACTTAGAAATGGTGGAACATATCTGGTGTCAGTTTTATATCCAGCTGTTACATTATATTTCATTTCTGTATAGTATCTATTGTATATGCTCCAAGTTTACCGATTGTAACGTATGGCTTATAATAGTGAAAGTAAACCATAGTTAAATTATCAATTACATATTTATTGCACAAGTCTTATACCTGCAGAAACACTATATAGCTGTTTTGATAAATTGGTTTTATTGTGCAACTCTCAGCGTTATATGCGCATTTTTCTAATATTTTAATAAATAACTTGTTTTATTGTTTCAAGAATGGTGAAAGTGAGAAGAAAAGTAAAAGAAGTGACAGGAAATGGGCAAGAAGATAATGTAAAATATAAAGATTGTTAACAAGTACGAGGGTAAAAATCTAAAGATAAAAGAACACAAAAGAGTAAATATACAAAACAGAAAGGGAAAAGGAAGATACCAGGTGGTACAGCTTTAAAGAGAGAGAGAGAAAATGGAGAGGAAAGGTTTGACAAAAAGATGAGAGAGTGAAGAAAACAATGAGGTCTAGTGTTGATACACTACAATGTGTATATTAGTTATAGGGTCGGTGGCTGAAAGACATACAAAGATACCTATGGCACTGGATCCTCCCACAGGGAGATGTTATTCATACGATATATAAGGTAATATGGATAAAAAGGCAGGAAAATAGAGGCGTGGGGCTGCCATATTGTACACATTAATCATAGCTTTGAAAAGGAAAAACTTGACAAACGAACCAGTATCCAGTGTCTATAAGGAAAGAAAGCCTAAGTTGTTATTTCTCAGTAAATGACTAACGACATACATATACTGGCAAATATACGTGTATGTCTACATACGCGAGAATAGCGTGTTCTTTACATAGAAAGTCTTAAATTACGTCCGACAGCGAAGGTACCTCTCTTTGCCTTCAGGATAAAGATAAGATGACGCGCATATTTCGGTGTTCGCTGTCTCGTTTTAAAACAAGACCAAATGATGCCGATATGTTTTTCATGAAAGAAAATCCAGCTTACACACAAGACAAAAAAAAAAAATACTCTAAGGCCTTAAGCCTTTCATCATCAATCACTTAACAGACACTCACAGTTGATGGAAAAGTTGACGACAGTGTTAGCAGTTATGTGCCGATTAAACATCTTTCTACCACGAGTAATCTGACATTTGACGAATGTTTTTTTCTTTTGTTATTTTCCCTTACTATTTTATTCAATCATATCAGTGGTCTATGATAAGTCTAATAATGGCCATTTTACGTGTACTCAGGATAACGTACACCCCTAGAGTAACAGCGGCTATGTTGTGTAATCGGTTAGATCTAATTAAGACAACAGAGCGGGTCAAGTATAAGAATTAAAAAGATGACTCGTTTTCCAAGAGTAAACTAGAAAGTTAAGATTATTTGCTGTTGTAAATAGTATTGCAGAATATTACATTAATGGAAACGGAATCATGTAAAATGTGGTATAACGAATAAATATATTTAGTAAAAGATCTTAAGAAAATACAAGGGATTATTGCAAACTGCAAATTGTATGTGTTTTCTGACAAACACAGTTGTCTTTAAACAAGCTACATAGTTTTCCAACTCATGTTATTATATTATTTTTGCTTATTGCAGATTGTCAGATGTCGCTATGAGAAAGAGACAGAGAGAGAGAGGAGAGAGAGAGAGAGAGAAAGGGAAGAGAGTATCTAAAAGATTCCCATGTGGTAGTAATGTATCTCCTTGCAGAGACTGGAAGTGCGAACAAACATTATAGGAAGATTATACGAGAAGAAGTCAAATACAACGGGAAACTGTAAAAATGTTATCGAGTAGATCACACCTTACCAGATTGATTTTGTTACTGTGTTTGGTTCCTTCTCTTGTGCGTAGTAAAAGCGGCTTTCGTAGCTTCAAGTAGGATCACGTGGCGACTGGCAGAAAGCTAGAAAACTTTGTCTTACTGTTCATTGTTCACTGTTCATATGTTCTATTTTACGGTGTCTGGATCTTTCAATTTAATTAAGAAATACATTTTATTGTAGTCAATGAACACGTAATCTTTGTCGGCTGAGCCTTCCCATTTTGTACTATGGTGAAGCATAAGAATGAGTTTGATGTTAAAAAAGAATTTAGAAGCGATAGATCAAAAACGAGTAAATCTATTAGATTTGGTATTCCAAAATAACACTCATATTAATTATAAAGATACTTGTACTATTGTCAATAGTTTTTGTGCCACATAATTACAGGAATTTTACAGAGAATTGTGATAGTTACTAGAGCTACAAATCCCTGTTGTTTTTGCTGATTTAGTTGCTCTTTGTTTGATAATCACACGTAAGAGTTTTATATATATCTGTCTTTCCTATATTCAGATTACTTCCACACTAATGGAAGCAAGCCATAAAGTCCACAGTCAACCACTTAATCCCAAACTATATATAATTCATAACACCACAACACACAAGAGCATTTTTGTAAAATTCATTTATTGCCACAGTTGACTAGTACACATAAGAAATGTTTTAAATACATGTTTATAATAAAGAGATTAGGAAGATGAAGTAGAGAGGTAAAAATGAACATTTCCCGAAATGTGAAACGAGAAGTTGAAAGGTCAAGTTTGTTATTTGGTTATAAAATAATCAAACATGACTAGTAAAAAAAACAAACAAACATGGTTTAAAAAATGAAAACAAAAACAACAAGAAAACATATATATAGTTTTAAAATACTGTGTTCGTGATCTTTTATACTGTCTTCTACCTTGAAAAAGTTGCTCTATCGAATTTCTTCTGTTGAAAACATATCAAAAGCAAAATATTTGGTGTTACGCAAAATTTGAAGTTTTCAAAAGCTCCAATGATATTTATGAGCTTTATTTAACGTTTTCGTTACTTCTCTTGGAAAATTTCTGACTTATTAAAAATGTTCAGAGTCCTGGCTATTCCTTTGAATTGATATGAAAACATCACAGCACATGCACGTGACAAGATCCGGTCGAGGTCTGACGATTAAATTCTCTAACCCGGACATGCATCATTCATCACTGTCGAGTGTTTCGCTTTTAAAAATAGAAGAAAAATACTAAGGCCTAAAAGGCATAGATAAAGTGTAATCATCTTCATGATTATAAACTCCATACATACCGTTCAAGGGAGTTTTCTAAACTTTCACAATATTTTAAGAGTTAGAGCGCCCCCTCTTGGTAATATGACTGACATAACCTAACATTTTAAGACTACCCTAAAGGCAAAAAAGAAAAAGAAAATTAACGTACATTTTAGATAAAAAAAATTCGAGTTTGGTAATCTATCTATTTAACCTTATTTCTAGAAGAGAGATAGTAATAAGGAAAGTTACTATTAAATTAAACTTAATTCCAATTTATTAATTGTTTTTTTTTTTAAACCTTGTTTATGCATCTTTCTAAGTTTAAATCTACACATAATGACGTCACTTTGAATCGGAGCGTAATAGCTGGTGGTAGGACTCAAGCCTTGTCCAATGATATAAATAATTGACTTTAAACGGCAGGTATTTTCTCATTTAGTGATTTAGTAAATGTTTTTTATCGTAAAGATTTGTTGAAAAAACAAACAAAACAATGATTTGTTGCTGTATTCTAGAGGGACCAATCCAAGACACGTATTTCACCCATTATTATCTATCCATGTAGAGCCGAATTAACAATAAAGCAGTCGACGTAATATTTTGAAGGGCTGTTTATTATTTTTATATCAATTTCTACAGTGTTTTATTTTCAGTCTTGTGTTTTAAATGATACTGCTCAATGCCTAAATGTTTTAATGTTTATTCTAGGCCACCTTCATTTGTTATGTATGAAAATGTGATATGTTTCCTTACTCACTCAGTCAAATTAATAACGTACTCAGTACATACTGTAATTTTTTATTAACTTCTTTCGCTTACAAAGATTTGAGAGTTTGATTTAGGGCGAAGATACAACGTAGGTTTTTGGACAGTGGGTGAATAGGAAGTGACGTTTTATAAAATAAACGTTAAGTAGTTCACTATCTTTAAAAAGCCAGCTTCTAGCCTAAACATTAATGTCCAGACTTGCAGTACTCACCTGTGGTTGTGCTGTAAATAAGCTAACGGTAAAACAAATGTATGTAGTATATTGTATGTGGATTCAATGCTTGTTAAGTACAATTTTACTAGGTTTTGAGTTGTTTGTGTGCCAAACCACTGTATTTCGGTATTGTGTTTAACCCAGTGTTTTAGTAATTAACAATGATGAAAAAATCATGTTTGTTTTATTTCTTTGTTATTCTTCACAGCCACTAGACTTATTTGACTGTTGTTTTATTTTGAGCCAGATTTATTTGAAACTCACAAGGTTTGGCTATTGCACTGCGATATACTCAAATCGTACAAGTTATCTGCTTCCATGGTTTCTAGCATATAAACTATTAGACGCTTACGTGTGTGGTACTTTTAATTCAATCGTAGATTGTTAAATAAAAGATTTCGTGTGTTCAAAACAAACGAACCACAGATTATATCTCGCATACTATAGTTATATCTTTTACTGATATCCGGTATATTGATCTCTCCTTACACATGTTATTTTTAATGCAAAAATGATAAATTATTGAAAAAAGGGGAACTAATGCTAAGTGTGCTTGAACGAATAATTTCAGATGAGTTTCAGTTTTATTTTCATCCTAAAAGTTTCTTCTGATGGCCAAGTGATTACGCATCCAGTTAAAGCGTCTTGTCATTCAAAAGATTCAATTCTTATAGGCGGGTTTAAGTTTGTCATCCAAATAGTGTTAGAATCAACACACAGGGTTGGAAAAAATCCCAGTCAAACACGATCTACTCTCTGCCCTACCTGATACGGCAGTCACGCCCTGAAGACACACCCAAACAGCAGGTAATGTTCTACAGTGTTGATATCACACCGGCCTCGTAGCTGTCGGAAATCATGTGAGGAGACAAAAAAGTCCAACTGGACTTTTTTTGGAATAGTGTATGAAATTGATTTTAAACTCACATACTTTTTTTATAATTTCGATATATGTATGGTTCCTCTGCGTGTTTCAGACTTCGCTTACCTTTTAATAATTTTCTTATTAAAAATTATTATTGTTGATCCGTTGATTAAGTATTTGTATTATTGATTCATTAATTACGTATTTGTATTGTTGATTCATTAATTACGTATTTGTATTGTTCATTCGTTAATTGCGTATTTGTATTGTTAATTCGTTAGTTACGTATTTGTTTAAGGCACGTTCAACTGCTGAAAAGAAGTTACAGTTTCGGTTTGAAAGTCAAAATGTACAGCTATAAAGCTTGGAGGATAAGACAGAATGCACATTTTACATGTAAATTGACGATATTGAAAAGAAAACAAAAGACAGAGCTTTGTTTGACAACTAAGGAAAATATGTGGTGGAATTATTTTTTATCCTATTATGTGATTGTATTGTAATTCTTATTTGGCATTACCGTTCTCTGAACTGTGTCTGTGTATTTGTTAGGTGCTGAGTGACCTGATTAGAGATCATGTCTGTGAACATTTAGAGTCATTTATGTGTTTACTGTAGCACGTCCGTATTTTTTGTTTCGTTTGCTTTTACAGCACGTAATGTGACATTTTAAAATAAAGTTTGTTCATTATTTAGCAAGTGCGCATGTTTGGACTTGTCTCTAATAAGTTAAAGATTTTGTTTAGAATTTCGCGTAAAACGATCCACACATTGCGAGTCGAGCGCCTTAACCACTACGCTATAACAGGCCATTGTCAAATAATATAAGATGATGAAGAGAATGCTGGTTAGAGTCATTATAAGGACATTTTCAAAAGTACGAAAATGATTTTGTTTGCACTAAAATTTAGGGATCATACCTTTCGAAAAATCGAACAAAATATAAAAGTTACTTTATTCATTTATAACAAATCTTATTAATTATTAATGATTGTTAAATTCTTGATAGAAAATACAAAGTTAACTTGTGCAAACAATCGTAGGCAGACAATATCAAACAACCATAGCGAACAATGTGTACCAAATTTATCCTTTCTATTTAAAATGGAAACCAACTCTTCATGCGATAGCTTGACAATGATGGATTCTCTATTCTCCACCCCCTCTGTGCCCATCCCTCTCCTTCCCCGTGAATTACCAGTGGTGCACACACACACACACACACGATAACTGTTGTGATCTAGAGCAGGGAAACTAATTTGTTAAGACATGCGAAAATGTATATTTATAGATTTTTTTGACGTAAGATAATGAATTATTGATTTCTTTAATAATTTTATATTGCATTTACTAATTTCAGTATTAATGCGTGGGGAAATAACTTTTTCATTCTTGCTTATACTTTCGTTCTACGTAACTGAAACTCCGCTTTAAGTTATCTGCAAAAATACACGCATTCAATGTTCATTCCTACCACTCGTTCACAGACTTGTACTGGAAATAAAACAAGCACTTTTAATGGTTTAATTAATGTATATAATGATAAATAACGATAAAAAAAACCTATAACCCGAGTGTTTTCGAAAGGTGGACCTTTCTCCTTCAGGGGCAAACTGGGTTGAATGGTTTTATCGTTTTATGTTAAGACTTCTTGAACTTACGGGTTTTTCTGACATCGTGAATATATATATATATGCACACATATTTAAAGACAATGCAACAATACAAATTTACATCTTAAAAAGCGTCATACAACAACAACAACATCTGAATACTTTCAATGGTTTTTTAAAATTTTACTTAAACAGTCTAACCGAAAAATAACTAGTGTCGAACATGAGAACTAAGGTCAATTAAAAAAGTAAGCATTGCGATAACACATTAGGAGCGAAGAAATGTTTACGGTATCAAACAAAGTTGCGAAAAGAAATATCATTGGCAGAACAAAAGAGATCATTGCAAGCACGTATTCGGGAACACAAGAAACCTTTATACTTCTTCTAAACTCGGAATATCTCTATCAAAGAACGATGTTTAAAGAAGAAACAAAGGGGTACATCGATGATAAATAAAGAAAAAATTACACGTTAACAAAAATGTGGTCAAGGACATTTCAATCACATCTATGGAAGAGCTAAAGTTACCTTGTATGGATTCAATGATATACGACATGTCATCATTATTTCTAGTTTCACTGACTTTTCAGGTCTCACTAAAACCCTTCATGACATTTTTACACCAGTGTACCTTGGTTCAAATACCCTTGATCAAATATCTAAAAGAAATATTGTTGTTTCATCAAATAAATTGTTTCCAATGTTTCTTATCTAAAGATTTTTCGGCATTAATTATACATTATTTAGATTTTTTTGACTTTTCTTTTTGTACTGCTGTCAACAGTAGTTCTTTACCGAAATAGCAGCGCTTATTATCTGAGGCAATGCAAATATTTCCTTTCTAATTAGTTAAGCCTAACCTCTCATGTTATGATGAACTTTTCAAAGAGCTTGTAAGCTAGTGATCAAATAAATGATTCTTATAACGTGGTGAAAAAAAGCTGTTAAATCTGTGTTATTTATATATATTTAAACTTCATACAAAAATGACGTTGAAGGAGCATTTAGCACATATATTCACAAATGACTAAGAAATTAATATACATTTGAACATTTCGGAGTATTCCACAGTCAACATAAAAATAATGTAAACAACAAGTTCAATCATAAGAATCTTAGTTCTCAGTTGAAGGTAGAATGTAGCTATTCTGAGACGATATAAAACTATAATATAGTATATTATAATATGGAAAGAAATTTCATTTTACATTCGACAGTAGCCTCCGTTAAATTGTTCATTTGTAGCTTCTTGACCAAATACTTTATCATTCACGAAGGATTATGTCCTGTCCTTAAGATGATAAGATAGAAAAATATCTAGAAGTTAAAAGCGTATTATTCGATAGAATATAAAATTAGTTTAAAATGTTTCGACACAAGGTATATTCTTTAAAACCTGCTAAATGTATCTTTAGACCTTAAAATAAAATTCGCTTGCTTTTATGACAATTCGATTTGTTTCAAAATATCGTATATTTAATTCTAAAATTATATCGAGATTTTCTTGAACATCAGCAAGCTTTATTTGTATTCTTTCCCCTGGTGTAACGAACCTCACAAAGACACATTTACAGCTGAATATTTTTGGATAGTTGAATACAGTTCTACGTTATGTTGATCATCTTTCTACCTCTGAACATAGGGAGAGCATTTAAAGCAATCGCTAGTGGAAGATTTCACTGCAAAGTCTTTCTAAGCAAAATTTCGTTCCTTTCATGGTAAATCTATAACTTTCGAACTTCATTTATAAACCAATAATTTATATACATTCCAAGTCTTAGGAGGAATAATAAAGTTATAAAACTCAACAAATGTGTTACACAGTATCACGTTCTCTGCCGAGTTTTTTTACATAGACATTATGATTTGTCATCAAATCTTAGAAACCCTTCATCGACTCTAGGAAATAAAATGTTTTATGGTGAAAAATATACTGAGGTGTTTCGAAGCAGTAAAGTAAACATCAACATGAAATATCCCACGAATTAAAGAGGGTTTACAATTAAAGGGTTTTCAAATGATATTTCACGAAGTCATCACATTTATAAAGTTCTAAATAATTTTGGCTTGATATTTTAATTCTGCTTTCTTGACAATTCTATAGAAAAGTGATCAAAGGAGAAAACTATTCTGTAGCTTCTAGTGTAAGCGGTTAGTTAACAGAAAGTATAACACAACTTCTTGTGTAAGCAGTTAACAAAAACGAGGCATTAAAGCAGCTTCTAGTGTGAACATTTGTTAACAGGAAACATAACTCTTCTACTGTGAACAGTAGCTAACAGAAAATGTAACGCTTCTAGTGTGAACAGTAGTTAGCAGAAACTTTAATGCTTCTAGTGTGAACAGTAGTTAACAGAAAATGTAACGTTTCTATTGTGAACAGTAATCAACAGAAACTTTAATGATTCTACTGTGAACAGTAGTTAACAAAAAATGTAACGTTTCTATTGTGAACAGTAATCAACAGAAAATGTAATGCTTCTAGTGTGAACAGTAGTTAGCAGAAAATGTAACGTTTCTATTGTGAACAGTAATCAACAGAAAATGTAATGCTTCTAGTGTGAACAGTAGTTAGCAAAAAATGTAACGTTTCTATTGTGAACAGTAATCAACAGAAAATGTAATGCTTCTAGTGTGAACAGTAGTTAGCAGAAAATGTAACGTTTCTTTTGTGAACAGTAATCAACAGAAAATGTAATGCTTCTAGTGTGAACAGTAGTTAGCAGAAAATGTAACGTTTCTAGCATGAACAGTAGTTACCAGAAAGTATAACGTAGCTTCTAGTGTGAACAATAGTTAACAGAAAGTATGATGCAGTTCGTGTTGTGAAGAGTTAAGATAGCAGCAAGTATTTTTAACTTAAAGATGAATAATTAATCAACAGAAATGTTATATATCTTGTAGTGTTAATAATTCTTCAGTAGTTTGTAGTGCGAACAGTTACTGAATGAGAAGTATTTCAAAGGTTACGAATCAAACGAAGAAGGCCTGCGAAGCACTAGAAAATAATAGGCTAAAATTTATGATAAACTCATGTAAACTGCAGGTGTTTCTTTTTCACATTCCTTTTAATTTTCTCATTTCGGATTGAAAATTAGATGCATGTAAAGATAGCCTTTTAGTTCTATCTTTTGTCTCCCACAAGTCACTGCCCAAGATGACTTTTGTTCAATAACAGATCTTTTCAGCTAGACTAGACAGTGAGAGGTAAAAAAATTCTCTGAATCGCCATTTACACGTGCACTATCATACTTTAAAAGTTACCGTTTAAACAACAAAAGCCGACAAAGCACAAGAAGTATCGTTTAGCTCGCAGTGTGAACCATTTTTTAACAGAAAGCATTAATCAGTTCGTAGTGTGAACAGTTAGCTACAGAAAGTACTGTAGAGCTTATAGTATGAACAGAGAAAATAGCATTTAAGTTGCAGAGTGATCAGTTAGTTAGAAAACATTATTACATACGTTATTGTATGGATATGCCAACATAAGATATTATACGGATCGTAGCATGAACAGCTAATTAACCCTAAATGGTATTATAAGCTATAATTCACAGTTAGTACACGTGTGCACTGTGACGATTCTGATAACCACAGTATCTGTCGAAAACAATTTTTAAGAAGCATTTTTCATCTTTAATTGACTTATATTTGAATACAATTTTATTTTTAAACCTGAAATCCTGGACAAGGTAAGACCTAATTTCCCGGATGTTATAAAGTAACTGGGTAATTTGATGGATGGAATTGTTCAACCTGAACTATACTGTTACCACGCCCTTTGCTGTAGTTTATACCTGGTTTATTCTACAGAGATCACTCTCGCGTAGCAGCAAGGTGTGTCTTCGCAGCCCGAGCCAGAAATACGTAAAATATTACTCACAATTACACAAGAGGATGAGAGTCCATAAGAGAAAAGCTTCTACCAAATCAGACACAAATAATATACCATTTTATTCTGCATTGAGGTTGAACCTTTTGAAGTTAAGGATAACGCTAGTACCCACCCTATCATAACCTCTTGATAATTAATTCACGTCACAACTACACTGAAACCAATAATTATGGAAGAACATCCA